ATGCTCGACAATTTCAACGCGATGTTTAAATTTTTGGGTGTTATTTTTACAGTTCATTGATGGTGCATTCATTTGTTACCAGCATACAAGATGGTAGCAGGAGTGCATAGACTATAAAAGGGTTTAAAATTTGAGAGACACTTTATTTACCGTTTACGAAATTTTTGTTACCAGCGCAGAATAGACCTGTAGGAGTGACTTTCTTACAACTTCGAACTTAAATTTTTTCATGATTTCTGACTGGTAGCAAAAGTTATTCAGCAGTTTATACAATTCACTTCCGAAGTGAATTTCCAACCCATTCAATTTGAATTCTAAGTGCCTGATTGTAGAGGAAATATTTAAAATAAAACCGGTTTTTCATATTTCCATATTTCGAATAACTCGAAACCCGGTTTTTGAAAAAAAGGAGCAGTATTTAAGTGTAAGTAGCTGGGATGTTGCATATAAAGTAATTATTATATTATCGATTTACTCAGTAAATATATCAACATACATATGTCCTTCATAAATACGAGTACTTTGTAAAAAGAGGAATATTTACATACATACATAAAGTCGTACAATAAAGTAAGCAAAGCATACAAAACCGAGGGAAATTGATTAGCGAAGAATAAAAATACATTTTTTATTCAAAATTTATGCTGAGTTTGCAAAATTTCAAAAAACCTTGAAACCATAACCATTAGTGATATAGTTTGCATTTTACAGCATTCAAAATCCTATTCATTAAGCATGCGTACTCAGATATTTAGCTCTGTAGAGATATTGATTAAAGTGATAGCATGCCAGTTTATTTTATTTTCCAAATCTGCAATTCCATATTTTTACCAATATATGTAGACATATAATAATATTATTTATAGTCTATGACATTGCATTGAGAATGCATTCATAAAGGCAACCAGAAGAATGTATTGTACAAACTAGTAAGTATAAAATACATAAACACGTGCAAGATTGTGCAGTGTGACTAGAAATTCCTTGGAGACTTCACGCAAACAGTATTCTGCATCTATGAAGCTCGAATAGTATTCCCAGCATAAAATATGAAGATTGCAATTGATTATAAAAGCGCGCTAGCACAAAGAGGACTTGTGCGAAATGACCCTATAGGAAATACATGATTTTATGAAAACTGAGAAATTTGCTGGAAATAATTGGAAACAGACTTAAATTGGGGAATTAAGGCAATTTTTTGTACTAAAAGATATTATTTATATAGTAATCTTAATTTGTTAGTACGGCTATATATCTCCTGGGTATGGATTTAATTATGCTGCTATGCATACATTTTTTCTACATATACTTGAGAGTAGCTCTACCCTTGACTCTAACTTAATGTCCATAACTGCATTTGTCAGTATAAAGTTTTTGAGGAATCAAAATTAAATACATGCATAAAATGTATGTATATCATTCAGACAAATATATAAACTGCTTGCACGCAAGTGCCGGTTATGCAGAAAGTACGCAACTTGTAAAGTTTTCCTGCAGGACCACCACTCTATTTAGAAGTGTGTGTACCGTCATGGGTGTGTACCTATGAATGTGTACAAGCATGAGCAATTGTGAGGAATTTTTTAAATGAAGTTTTAGTAAAGCTGCATGTATATGTACATTAGTGTGCATCACCAAAAAAAGTTGTGGCTTTTCCACAGGAACTATAAAATTTACTCGGTAAAATTCATATTAAGATTTATGTGAACTAGAAAGATTTGAAAATACCTCTAAAATTCTGATTATGTAGAATACGTTGAGAAAAATTTTAAACATTTTCATGCAGACCTTTTAAACTTAATTTCTTTTATAAACTGTGATGATTTTTTTGAAAAAAAAAATTTAAAAAGTCTTTTAATAAAAAAAATCGGTTTTTGTAGGTACTTGCAAATACACATAAATTTTAATATTTTTCCGAAATATTTCGACGCAAATCTTAAAATATAACGCCCCGTATTTAAAGTCAAAATAAAGTCGAACATAAAGTTAAAAGCAGATTTTTGACATAATTCTCAATGTTTTATCTGTCAAAAAAATCTGGTCTTACTTTAGAGTCGACTTTATTTTGACTATTATAACTACGGCCGAATAAATTTTATAAATTTACTTATTTTTATTTTTTTTTTGATGGAGAGTAACGCACCCTAGTGTACATACATAAGTTATTGATTTTGATTTTATAATACGTATGTACATAGGTAGGTATTCACATACGAGTATTTTTCGATTAGTTTCTTTGTGAAAAAGTATAAGTTATATTTTTCTATTGAAAATATT